CTAATCGACAAGAAACCAAACTCAGAAGGGAAAAGACACAGAAAAAATTTATCCGAAAAATCCAGGTTATTACATTCTTTCCCTGCGATTCAACAAGTTCAAAGAATCATCAAAAAACATTGTTCGAGATCAAGCTTCATCAGCCCTCGATCAGAAATCATCGGCGATCTTTTTCAACTACAAATACTTGAAGAAGATTGTCGACAATCCGATTCAAGATCAAACTCCAACAGCCCTTGAATCCAACCAACAAAAGAGATCGAATCAGAGGATATTTTCTTTATTTTGTAAAGAATATCTCAGAGGATTGTACTCAAAATTTTATAAATTAATAAATTCTATTTGCTCCCTATTTTGTTCTTTATTTGCAGACTACGAAATTTGCAAAATCGACTCTACATCGCTCATCAATCATCATTTTCCAATGGCAATTTCCATTCAAGGAATTTGAGTTCCAACAACATTCTTTTCTTGCATTGATTAATTATGTTATTACTTCCAATTTCATCAAATCAAATCTAATGACCATTTTTATTTAAATTTCATTTATGCTAATTGAGCAAGTTAATTTCTTTCATTGCACTTTATTTTCCATATTGGTTCTTTTACGTATTCTTTTTATTCAAGCATTGTAGTTTTCTTTAAATACCTTTAGAAGTCCTTGCATTGAAGGCAAAAAAAGAACCTAGCCAAGAGTTCTTCCTATTCTCTCTCTTACACAACCACCTGAAGTCAACCACCAATTTAAAAGGGATAGTTGGTGTTCACGATTTTGAGTTATTTATAACTCTGGCATGCCCACAAACTCTATCAGTCGTGTGAGCTAAATTTAGCGCCACCCCACTTGGTGTTAAAAAAAGATACAATGCCACAGTCGAAGAACTCTAAGGCTATATCAACAGATGATGATCCGGAAGAAGAACATCAGTCATCTCAAGTTGGTAGCTCTGTTCGTGTGATTTTTGGCTCACACAGCTGATGGAGTTTGCGGGCGTGCTAGAGTCTATAGGAGACTCGAATGAATGAACATCAACTATCCCTTTTAAGTGATGGCTGATTGCAGACGATTGTGTGGGAGAGAGAATAGTAGAAACTTCCAGCAAGGTTCTTTTCTTGCTTTATTTGCAAGGACTTTTTAAAGTGTTAAAAGAAGAAGCAATGCATAATGAAAAGAATTTAAAAGAGCTGGCTAAATTGAAATTGCATTAAAAATAAAGTGAGTTGAAAAGGATAAATTGCAGAAATTGAAATAACTGGAATTTAAACAATGCAAGAAAAGATTGACATTGAATTTAATTTGTTGGGAAAGGAATTTGGATAAGAAATGACATTATTAAAATTAAAGAATCGAAACAAGAATTGCCATTGGAAAGAAATTGTGCAGTAAATGAAAGTTACTGAAATTCAAATAACTTGAATAAAGTTGCCATATGAATTAAAAGACTGGAAGATGAATTGACATGATTGAAAATGATAGATTTAATTAAAGTGCATTTTGTTGGAGTGGTGCTGGACAGTTTGAATATAATACAACTCCTATATTTATAGAAATTCTTCTAACTGAGTTGTCCTCTTTCCTTTACTAAAAAATCTCCTTCCCTTGATTTTCTCTTGACTTATTTAAATTGGATTAGTCTTCTAGTAAGCCAAGTCTTTTGCAAGTTTCTTCATATATCTCCCCCTCTATTTAGGACTTCAGTTGTAGTTAGTAAACCAACTTATGACCCTTTTCTTGTACACGTTGAATCTTTTTGAATTTGTCAAGACTTTCCTTCCTTAATTATAACAACCCTTTTACAAACTTGGCAGCCATATCTCCAAAATTATAACAATCATACGTGTCACAATTTTATTTCTTCACAGTGTCTCTAAAGTGGCCCTCTTTTGGCGCCATGTCAAGGCCACTTGTCGCTATTTTATTTGTCTACATTATTGTTGAGATGGCTGCGAAGTTTTGGTGCCAACAAATACCCCCCCAAATTTCAAATGTCTTTTCGGCCACCTAAGCCGATAATTTTTTTGGAATTTTAAAGTGTATTGAAAGAAAAATTTTCAGACCATAACTGAACTAATCACATGGAAGAAGATGGCAACCAACGAGCTTCTAAACTTTATTTCTTCCAGATCACCTCTAAGTTGGTCTTTATTTTGCGTCAGTCAAACCTGGTTGATACTGGTTCTTCCATTATTCCCACAAACTCATTGATACCCTTCAAAATATAGGCCATTTATAAATCTATGATGGACCTTACCGTTGAAGTTTTCCAATTCTACTAGTAAGGCATGATCGTGATTGACTTGGATCAGGTTGTTATGTAATGTCATTTGGGGCGATCTAACTAACTTCTCTATTGGAAGAATAACATTCTGCCAATATGGAGTTTTTCTAGTGGCTGATACTCTTGAATTTTTATACTCCTATACAGGTTCTGAAAGTACGTCATCCCAAGTTTCTGAATATTCATCTTCTTTAATGATTTTAGCTATATCAGCTGAAAATACCAAGAATAGTATTTCTTTTATGGCCGATTTTTTATCTTTTGGGTAAGCTTTCAGAATGTAAGTGGCCATCATGGCCTGATTCCTCTTTGATTCTTTATTTGGCACTTCAGCAATTGGCCGAGAAAGTTTTATCCTTCGTCAAAATACCTTTCTGACTAACATTTTTAAGTTATCATCAACCCGACTTCTTTTCATAGTGATCTATACTGGTCACCCCATTTTATTTGTTCTTTTGAACCTTAACAAAATATAATTCTCGTCGTGTAGCGTCACGTAAAATTTTCCATTAAATGGTCGATTTATTTTCTTTTGTAACTTTCTATTCAACATAACCTTTTTTCTTGCCATCTCCGTTTTCTTTTCTTGAAATTAGGTTGAGGACGACAAGCTAAAAGAATTCTTTCAGCCAACGACGGTTCTGGCTGAGGATTAGATATCACTCTCGGCCAAACATTCTGGTAATCTGGCCGATTTGATCCTGAAATTCTTTTACTTTGTTGATGAGTGAATCTTTCTTGAACACTTCTTTTAGAAAACCAAGTTTGGACTTTTATTTTATGAAAAAATTTAACTTTACCTCAGTTAATAACCTTCCACTTAGGGCAGCAACCATGTTGAATGAGAGCAGATTGGGTTTCTCTCAATTGTTCTTTTAATTCTTCCACAACTTTGGCATTTGGAGTAGCTGATGGTGTACTCTCAGCAACCTTAGGCTGATTCCCTTCATTAATCTTCTCTTTGGGAGCCTGGCCGATCACATTACTACTTATTATGAAAAGATCACTGTTGAACCCCGTGACTTCTGACAGCTTTTTGGAGAATTTCTAAATGTCATCGACAATTGCCTTTTTTCCAATATCAGCCGCTCCTCTTTTGGCCGATATGGTAGATGGTCGAATGCCCCCTGTAGCTGATTTTGGCTTGGTGAGGCAAAATTGAGTGAGAAATATTTCTTCCATCTACTGCCAATTAAAGATGGATTTTGGCGGCAAATAAATATCCTACAAGAAGGTTGCTCCTATCAAAGAGTTTAGGAAAAGCCTCATCTTCAACCAAGCGTTAGTACTAACCTCACCACATTGAACTGTGAAGCGGCTGATGTGCTCTACGGCTGATTGGTTTCCTTCGCCACTAAAAGTCACAAAGTTAGGGACATTGTATCATTTAGAAAATTTTATCAAGTCATATGTGCTTGGATAGGACTTTCTATACATTGGTCGGCCTATTCGCCTAAGGCCATTACCATATTCCTGCTTAATAATATCAGCCTACTGATCCTTATCGACCGCCATTGGCTAATTGGGCTGATCAACGGCTGGTCGATTTTGATTTACCACTAGCAACTGATTTTTCGCTGGTGGCTGATTATGTAATAGAATATTTATTATGTAATGTTTTTTTGGGAAAAAAATGATTAAATTTTTTGTTGTATTATTTCCCAATGACAATATTCTTCAATCAAACAGACATATTTGCAAATAATTCAATTTAGTAAATTAATTTTTAAGAAATTATATAATACAATATCCATTATGGGTTGATGAATTTATTATAGGGATGAAACAAAGACAATTTTTTTTTTAACAAAAAAATCATTTTTTAAAGAACAAATAAATAAATAAATTTTTTTTGGGGCAATATAGTTGTTAAGGCACTGTACTAATGACTCTATTTTTAGTGTTGTGTATAAAAGGGGGGAAAAAAAAAAGAAGTAAAATTAAACTTTTTTTTTGGACTAAAAAGCTATTTTAAGTATTATTTGTGTCAACCAAATATTACCTTGATGGCTTATAATTTATTAGCAATCCATTCAACGATTCATTTTTTTTAACCCAAAATTCAACGAGCCCATTGGAGTAAATGCGATCGCCAAAATGGTACTTGGATCATGGCTCTAAATGTTGCAAATGCTCAAAATCATGATGTTTAAAATTTTCAAAAAACATACTTTTCTGCCCTATTTTAGGCATTATGAATGCAATTAACGTTATAATTTGTTGTTATTATTATTTAAGTTAATTTTTTTTTATAATTATATGTTACTCATTTTCCAATTTGATATCTATATAATCATATTTCAAAATAAGTTTTTTATTTATTATTTTTAACAACGACCAAGATGGTGTAATATTATTTTTTTTTTCCAAATATAATTTTATATCTTAGTAAAAAAAAAAAAAAAAGCAAAAACAAAAAAATTATTCTCAATTCAAATCTAATTTGTTTCTACACAGTACACACACATTTATAATTTCATTTTACTTCCAATGGAGGTCCAATATTTCCAAATCTAAATCCCTTTTGAGCAATGATGCATTTACGGTTCTAGTTACCGAAATTTATTCTATTTCCTTTTTCCAAACAGAGTGTGAACCGTCTGATGGTTAGATATGACCGCCGGTCAACCGGGCGAGGGTACATGATGTGGTGAGTAGAAGAAGACAAAATGAGGGACACACCACATGATGATTGATAGACACCCTTTTTGGCATATGATTAGATTTCAATCTGCAATCACCAACTAACAGTTACAGAAAAACACACACAGTAGTAGTGCTCTCTCTCTCTCTATCATCTCATCTTCAAAGCAAAGATCCCCCAAAACCCAATTGTTTTTCTTCCTTGTGATTTGAGTTTCACTTTCACCTACTACACTCTTGCTTAAGATTCCTCTAAATCATACTCCCTCTCTCTACCGGTCTGAGAATCTTGTAATTTTCTCGCTCTAAAAACTCTTTCTCTATACAGACGGTTTGTATCACGGGTATGTGATGGATGCTATAATGGGGTTGTAAATATGCTAAATTGTCATAATCTTTTGTAGTTTGATCGGTTTGAATTTAGGTATTTCGGTTTGTGATTGTTGGTGTTGATTTGGGTTGTGAAAGGTTCATTAAGTAGAGATGTTGATTTGGTGTTTTTGTAATTACAGATTGTTAGGGAATGTGGAGTTGATGTTTGAATTGGCTGGTAATGGCAGGCGAAGTTGAAGAGCCTTTTAGCCTTAGTTTTCAGGTATTACATTTAGTTTTATGGAATTTACTGTGATCTAAAAATGATGAAGGATCTGCATATTTGTAATTGGAACATGCCGTTTGTGGATTTTGCATTTGAATACTTCATTTACCCAGTTTAGTTTTATGTCATCATAGATCAAGTTTACTGCCTTTTATCTTTTCAACTGATGGTTTTATTTCGTGTTTTGACTCTGTTCTGTTGTTATGTTGGATTGAATTTGATGTTTGTGGGATTGAGTGATGACTTCCATGTGTGTGTTACATATACACAATTATTTTTACTATTTGTATGGATCTGCCCTGTCTTTTGTTGTAACCGGAATGCATTGATTTTCATACTGTGTTTACCATTTACTGACTATGTTGTTTTAAATGATGAAACCAGAGAATAGGCAAGAGCTAAATTAGTGGTTTGGAGGGAAACTTAAGGATCAAGAGGATTCAAGATAAGTAGGATTAAACCCAATTATATGGGATGTAACTTTAGCAAAATTAAGAATACGAATGGGAATGTAGTGAAAATTGAGGATCAAAAGATATCAAAAAATGAACACTTTCGTCAACTGGTCTCAATTCTTTAGAAAGAGTGAGAAGTTAAAAGATGATTGTAATCATAGAACTAAAGTAGGATGGGTTGAATTGATGAGTACTTCTAGCATATTATGCTCGAGTAGACCTTAAAAAGATGAAAAGTAAATTCTATAAAACAGTTATAGGTCAACCATACCTTATCAGATTGAAATTTGAGCAGTTAAAAGGCATGTTAAGGAAATGAGTGCTAATGAAATGCGATTAATGAAATGGATGTCTGAAAAAAAGAAATGATAAAATTAGAAATGAGCATAGTTGTGAGATGATTGAAGTGTAGTTTGTTGGATATATAATGAGAAAAAGTTGATTAAGATGGTTTGGTCAACTATGTGCAGCCTGTACCACTAACTACACCAGCTAGAAATGTGATGTGATCAACATTGAGGTAAAGCTAATAAAGCTAGACGAAGGAGAATATCAAAACTAAGATGGGATTAGATATTAAGTATACATACATGGAGCATGTGGTTTGATTGAGATTATACCGTTAGATAGAGCAGAATGATGAAACAAGATTTATGTGGTTGATGCAAAATAGATGGGAAAAAGCTTTAATAAATTGAATTTAGTTTGGGAGATTAAAATTGAAACTTCAGTATATTAACAAATTTTTTTTTCTTCTTCCTGAATGTATGCTAACAATTTCCTTATCAATGGTGATCATAATGTGGAGTAATTCCACCATGTACAAAAGCTGATGTCACAAAGACTTTGTAGATTATGAGATGAAAAGACCAATTGTGAATTATTACAACGGCCTACATTTAGCATAGCTGCATTGCTACTTTATATTTTTCATGGCCATTTATGCTCACACCATAACAGCATATTTAGGCCTGAGAATATATTGAATGAATTTGAGTGTGGTAGAAGCATTGGATAATAGAGAGGATGATTTATATGTTACCATTTTGGGGTTATTTGGTATATTTACTAATCGTTCTACATTATACACCAAAGGCATTATCGTTGTTAACAACCACTGACATATGATTGTACTTTTTTAAGTTGGGCATCAGGACGATAATGGAAAAGTAGGGTCCACATTCCTGAAATTTTTGGAATACCTGCAAAACTCTAACAAAAGACGATGACTGACTTTAAATAAAAACTTGAACATGCATAATGATTGATATTTTTCTGATTTTCCTTCATATTTTGCTACATTATGAAGCTGTAATGAATTGGAACTCTCTATCCTTTTAATTCCATGGCTTGCTTGTCCTCTTATTGCCGTTTTGACGTCCATTTTCTTAACATGGCAGCCTGATTCTTTACACTCTGGCTCTATCTCATTTGGAAGGTTTGAAGCGGAATCCTTATCTTGGGAAAGGAGGTCATCTTTCTCACACAATAGGTATCTTGAAGAGGTTGAGAAGTACAAAAAACCAGGCTCAGTGACTGAGAAGAAGGCTTATTTTGAAGCTCATTTCAGAAAGAAAGCCCTTCTGAGCCAGAGTTCATCTGAGTGCCAAAATGGAACAGAATACGAAACTAGTGAAAATGACTTATCAGAGAGTGTGGGTTACAGAGAAGAATTTGAGTATGTCAATGAGGATAGCTGTTTTACACACTTCGATGAGAGTCCTGATGGTTCAGAATATAACAGAGAGTGTAAGATGATGGATTGTGAAAGAGAAGATATGGAAGTTTCACATTCAGAACCTATAATTGAACCTTCTATCAATATTGCTGATGCTGTTGTGGACAGTGTTCCTGGGCATGTCATGGCTGAGGAAACAAATCAAATTGAAATGGGAACTTCACTTTTAGTTGATGCTAAAACAGGAACCGAGATACAAGAAAATTTTAATTATGAAGCTGTAGTGCTTGTGACATCTAAAGCCATTGATTCATCCCCTAAAAGTCACACTGCTGAGAAAGATTATAGTTCTAGTCCTGAACATCAACAGGATCCATCCACCAAGGTGAGTTTTAATTATAATTTAACTTGTTATATGTAATATATTTTCTCATTCTATAGTTCTTTTATTGGTGAAGAACAGCAGCTGTATTGCCATATAACATATAAGAATGATTATGAGAAGGAAATATGTAGGGATGCATTTATGACTATAAGTTATTTCTAGCTTTCAAAAGTGTATTATGCATACTTTTTTTTCTGAATTGGAAGTTAGATTTTGCTCCCATTGTTTTTTCTTCCCAGCTTACACTTCTTGAGGTCTGACTCTAGGGAAGGGCTGTATCAGAAACCAAACTTATAAATCCTAGATTAAAATATCAAGTTTGTGTTACTCAGGTTCAGAGAAATGTTACAAGTGAATCACATAATGACTCTGCAAAGAAAATTAGTAGAGGGGAAAGAGATGGTTCACTGAGAACAAAAGCAGAAAAGCAGTCATCACATACTTCTGGGCCAACCATACGTTCGATATGCAGGACTTCAAAGCCAGAGGCAAGTATTGGTTTATGATGTACAATTTACAACTATTGAAATATTAAACTGTGATCAGACAAGGGTATTAACATAATGTTTTAATATGTTAATAATGCATTATTGTCTTTTATTTTGTTCTTCCATCATGATTACGATTTGTTCTTTTTTGTGTAGGACTCTGAAAGATCCAAAGCTAAAGCATATCATGACAAAAAAAGGTATATATTTCTTGCTGGTTTCAGCAAATGGCAAAATATATCTTCCTTAGTGATTACCTCAATGACATTTACTTCGGGCATTGTACCAGTGAATATCAGTATACTGCACCGGAGATGGTTGTTCCAAGGGAAGATCAATCTGCAAACAGGTTTATAAGAAACATTATAAAAGAATGCTTCATATAGATGTGTTGAACTTCCCGAGTACTGATATTGAACAACTGTTATGTAGGCCTAAGCAGAGTCCAACTTCAACTAAACCAGGCATCAAGAAGAGTGCTGCAGGTTTCAATTTCAAATGTGACGAACGAGCAGAAAGGAGGAAGCAGGCAAGAAAGCATGTTAATTGAACTTTCGTTTCAAAAAAATAAAATAAAAAAGCTGATTATGGGTTATTTGTTTATTTATTGTTGTTCCCCATCTCTTTCAGTTTTATACAAAGCTGGAAGAGAAAATGCATGCTAAGGAGGCCGAGATTAATCAAATGCAAGCAAAAGCACTGGTAAGTGGACTAATGCCATTACTAAAAGATAACTTGATAAACCTTAGAAAAGTTCATTTTTTGTCCTCGTCAAACTATTTAGACGCTAATCCTTGATATACTGCATGGAAACATATTCTGATATCTGGATCTTATTTTTAAGTATAGCTTGAAAAACTACCATGAGATATAACCAAACAAGGTAGATTGTATTATGTTCTCGATCATATCTAGAATACAGTCTTTAAATATTCCGTGTCATTGTTCATTGTTATTAAGAATAGTGCAGAATCTAAGGTGGATCAATTACTGTATCTGCAGGAGAAGACAGAAGCTGAGGTTAAACAATTTCGAAAAAGCCTCAACTTTAAAGCAACACCTATGCCTTCTTTTTATCATGAAGCTGTAAAAAGTGGATCGGATAAGAAGAAGGTACGTGAACAAGTCTGTTTCACTCAGTCTTTCTGCCCTTTTATAGGTGTCCATAACACCTTCCTCTAACATAATCAAGCCTTCCAAAAACTTGGGCTCTCATATATCAAGTTTGGTGTCAAAGAGCTCCTCTAGATATGATTTTCAAATGCTGAGCTGTTTTTTCATCAGACAAATATTTTATTAAACCTTGTTTTCTTCTGAAACAGCTGTTCTAAAGGGTGATAACACATCCAGAGACTGCTAATTACCCCCGATGCTTAAGCCTCATTTTTACTTTGTATTATTTTAAACCTCTTTCAGAGTTTTGCAATATCCCTTTATCTCAGCATGGCATTGTTTGTTTTCAAAATTTTCTGCTTATGAAGAATAGTTAAATTTCTCTATATTTTCTGTTTAATCAGTTAACCTATCAATTACATATCTTTGACTTAAAAGTTGGTAATAAGTGAAACCCTGATTTTGGTAGCTTCTTCTATTTTTGTCCCAGACTGTATCAAATAACACCAGACCAATAAAACTACGAAGCCAGTCATCGAGTTCAGGAGGTAAAGATGCTGTGAAATCTTCATCCTATGCAAAGGGAGGAAAGGAGCAAGTCTTTTCTGTTGGTGAACCTGTAAAGTCAAATGACCCACCTCAAGCTTCAGGAGAAACCAACTGCCCTACAATTGTGCCCTCTGAAACCGGTGGAATCTTTCTGCATTCATCAACAAACAGAAGCCAGCATCCAAAAGCTAAAATAATTAGTGAGGTGACTCAGAAGAAAGACCAAGAGAAAGATAAGGATATGAATCTGCAGAAACACCGAGTTTCGGGTTGTAGCAGGGTGAAAAAAGGCCAGAAAGTTGAGGTAAAGCGAAAAATGGGTGCTGGGAGAAGTAGCAACGGGAAGATGAGGGAGGATATGAAAGGTATTGGTGCTGGCAGTGGTTCAGGAACTGGTCATCTAGTCGTTGGTGTTGCCTCTTGATCATGTGCATTTCCATTTTCCATTCATCCATAGCTCCTTTAGAGTGAAGCTATCTTGAAACACATCCATGAGTTCATAAAAGAAGTGCATCAATATGCTGATTAGAAAAAGTGGCTGATACTAATAATGTTCGGTGAAAATCTTCCTGGGAATGTGTTTCGGATTACAAATCTTCGCGATCAAATACTAAAAAGTTGGCACATGCTTCCGCAATTTCCACTCTTTTTCTACATTCTCATATATACAGCGCGAGCTGGGTGATGTAATTTATGATTATATGGATACTAATGTTGGCTCTGTTTTTACGAGTTCTTGCAGTTGCTAGTCTCATGGAAAATTGTACAAATTCAGTTGATCTGTATTTATCCATGCATGATCTGTATCAAACATTTTGAGCAGTTTGATGTTTCTGAAATATATCCATATTAATATATGAAGAATAAACCATATTTTCAGGGACAATGTTGTGTTTTGTCCAGGGTTTGGCAAATTGAAAAGGCAGATTCAGTTGGGTGATGTATTTAAATCTCTACAGAAATCTAGTGCATTCAACTACATGCTCATGTCACTTGATTTAAACCATGCATTGTTGATGGAATTCTCTGATGTTGTATTTGAGAACATCGAATCGACGTGTTGGAATAGGAAATAGAGGAAATTTAGTTCAAATGGATTCGATACTCCTAAACATAACATAAATGATTTGCAACAAAACAATCCTTGGTCATATCTGTTGCCTGTTGGGATGAATTTCTGTACTTAAAAATCTATACCTAGTGGTCATTTACAAACCTTGATGTTCATTTCTCCATATAATATAATATAATATATATATTTTTACTATGTCTCACATGAGGAATGCATTTATATCTATGTAAATGGTTACCTAACGTCTGTGTAGCATCTACCAAAATCAATTAAGAGTTTCTGTTTGTTTCATCGGGGAAAAATTAATGTTTTTTTTTTTTTTTGTGCTCATAGATGGGGCCTTTACATCCTTGAAATTTTATACTACTGCTAATGTGAGGGATTGATGTGTTTTTGCATTGACTAGTAAGCGCCACACCTTTCTGTTTATCATTGGCAGTCCGTTCAGGATTTTTAAACTCAACGATGGCAACTAAACACAAGGATTATGCTCGTTATGGGACTTAACCCAACACTTTAACTGACGACAACAATGCACCACATGTGCCTGTGTTCCTGAAGGCACCTCTCTTTCAAGGATTTGTGGCATGAGAAATGGATGTGGGCCCCATCACAGTAGTCCAGGCATGCTTTTCTTGGTCATGGCCTAATCCTCTCCTTCACTAAATGATCTCGCTCTTGAGATCGAAACTAACATTTGTCATTCGAGGAACTGTGAAAGCATGAATCAATTTGAAACTTTTCCGATTGTTGCGTGTTAACAAGTTTAGAGTTTAGAGTTGTTTATTTTCGTTATAAAAAACTAGTTATCGATTATATCCGTGTACAATTAAAGACCATCCAATGGCTATCAATTGGGACCCAGTATTGGTTGAGTTGCCAATGGCACCTAAACCTAAAGCTCCAAAAACAAGTGCACCACATTTACCAATTTTCTTTTTCTATATCAAAACAAAACTAGTAATAATTATACATGGCCTAAACTTTTTGAAGTAACCTTTTCATCAAATATTGATAAAATTGCTTCTTCTTTTCTTTTTCTTTTTTCTTTTTTCATTCCAAAATTACTATGTAATAATTATACATGGCCTAAACTTTTTGAAATATCCTTTTCATAAAATTTTGATAAAATTGCGTCTTCTTTTCTTTTCTATATATATATTTTTTCATTCCAAAATTACTATGTGATATTTGCCATCATTCATCAATAACCAAGAACTGTTTGGTGGATTTGGTGGTTGTACTTTCTGTTTTTCTCAATGGGTTAGCCAGTAATCATTTAAGGTAACATTATGAGGGTCTTTAGTCTTTATGCCTATTGGTAATGGTGTCTAAAGTTTGGTACATTTTATTTTATAATATATTAGGCAACTAAAAATAAATATATTTTATTTGGAAAGGAAAAGCCATCTAAACAGAAAAGAAAAAAAAAAAAAACCATCTAAAGAGTAATTAATAAGACAGTGGAGAGAGGGTTTATATATATATATACATGAATAATTATAAGTATTTTGAAAGTAAGAACATATCTAATTGTTTTACATGAGTAGAGAATGATATTGTAATAATATAATGATGTCATCATGACATTTTTCTTTATTTATATAAATTTAGTTGTATGTGTTAACTCTCATACACTGTATTATTACTCTTATATATATATATATATATATATATATATATCAATCACATAAATTTAGTCGAATATGTTAACTCTCATATTTTGTATCATACACCGCATTTTCCTTCATTACACTGTATTATTACTCTTTTACTCTTGTTTTTTTTTTTTTTTTTCTTTTTTTTTTTTCCTTTTATTTTATTTTATTTTATTTTGGTATATTCTCTAAATATATATACACACACAAATTGCAGACACATATTTGGGTCCCTCCTTCTCAAAGACTAACTTTACTATTAGTATGGGTGGTGGTCCTTCTGATTTGGCTTTTTCTTTATAAGGCTTGGGAACTTTATCACCTTTTGTAAAAATGACAGTCCTGCAAGCATAGGTTGGCCTTAGTTTGGTGGAAGGTTTACCTATCCCACTTGTTTGACTTGTACTTATTGAAAGGCACAATGCTTCTTTTCTTAATATATGATAATACATAATATTGATTTTGTTTTCTCGTTCTTGCTCATTAATAATTGATTTAAGAAAGAGGAGTGTTGAAGATAAGTTACAGAGTGGTAGTTGGCCGTCCCCGGCAGCATCGGTGGTAGCGAGGAGGGAGAAGAGGCTACATAATTGTAAATTTGTAAAGTATTTAGGGTATTTTAGTCTTTTTATTTAATACTTTAAGTTAAAACACTTTTAATAAAGTTAAAGGATATTTAAGTCATTTTACGAACTGTGACACGTGCAGTAACGATTGGTTGGGGTGTGAGTGACAGAGGAAACTAACCCTTGCACTAAGAGTGGTCGTAATTTTTTAAAGTTATTTTAATGTATTATTTGACCAAATCTAGAGACGTGTGATTGAAATTAACCCTATATTAATATAATTGCAAGTATTAAATCTCATACTTTGTATAATTACTCTTAGATATATATATATATATGTGTGTGTGTTATTTTATGTGAGTAGGAAATAATATCTTTATGAAATATGATCACGTTATTCTTTGTTCACATAAATTTAATCCGATGTGTTAATCTTTATAATTTATATCATTACTCTTTTACATACACATAGAGTAATAAAGATAAAGAAAAAGAAAAGAAGAATCTAATTAAAAAAAACGCGTGGTCGTAGTGCCCTTGGGCCATAGTAGTGAAGATAACCATTTTTATGGTGTTGGTGTTACTTCATTTTAATACTAGTGTCATGCCATTTCTGACTAAACTACATTATAGCATTGCAAAAGTTCTTTTTTGCTGCGAAAAATAAAAATAGTTTGGAATCATAAGTTTCCAAGAGACCACATGTAAACATCATCTTCATCCATTATGTAATCATCCAAATATCAAGGCATATACATACACACTCACACACATATATATATATCTCAATGTTAATTATATTATAAAATATTAATATATTATATTAACTACATTGCCAAATAAAAACGTCAGACTATTTGGGGGTCATTATCATCTTCAACAAACTTATACCACCATTTATTTGACCTTTATGCCAAAAAAACAACATCACACTCATTTTATATATATATATATTATATATAAAACATCTCACATAACATCAAAATATATTATCGATCCCTAACACTAATAAATTTTCCGATTTCATATGCATGACACCTAATGACACCAAAATTTGCACTCTATTTAGAAAATGTAAAAAATAAGATAAAAAACAAGAAGAGTAGTTGATGCAATCACAGACGTCGATCCTCGGAGAAAGCTTGATGAAGACTGATCCTGGTGAGGAGGCTTCCTGTAGTAGTATGGAAACCATGGTACGATGGGCTCAGGAGGAGGAGGTACTGCGCCTCCACCTCCACCCCCACCACCATTAATAAAATAAGGTGGTGGAGGGTAATACGGTAAATTCCCGGTCGGCGGAGGGTAGAAAGCCGGAGGTGGGTAAGACCCTGTTTGGGAGGGTGGTGTTGTAATTGCCGGCGGAGTATTTCCGGTGCCTGTTGGCGGCGGGTAGCATGGATATGGGCACTCGGTTTGCGAATTCGTCGTCGCCGGAAAATTGAGAGCTGTTGAGAGTAAGAGGATGGTAGAGAGGAATTGGTTGAGCTTTAAGGCCATGTTTAGAGAGAGAGATAAAGAGAGAAAGGTGTTGGAATCAAGAGTGATGAAAAAGAGTGATGTAGAAGACGGTAAGAAGAGGGTGGGCTGAGGGGAGGCAATGACCTTATTGCACGGTCTTATTAGAAGACTTTTAGTGCAATGGTGTTAAAAAAGACCATTGCACTAAAAGCCAAGGTGGGGGCAATATTGGAAAATTGCAACTTTTTAGAGTTTTAGGTCATTTTTAGGTATTTTATTGGTTTTTTGAGGTCACAAATGTCAACCATGTGCTAATGAGAATCTCATCGTTTACAAATTCAGCTACCTACCGAATCAACTACTATTTTTTACTTCATAAGAAAGATGGACAAATACACAAGAAGAGAATTAAAAAGATGGATGGTAGTATTCCTGCATGGAACATTACGTTGTTTGAATAAATTGTAACAACAAAACAATGCTACATAAATATGGTTTGGACCATGATCATGAGTCATGGGATGAGATAATATGGATGTCCAAATCGAAGTCATATAAAGCGAGAGCGGGAGCGCGACAAAATTATATCATAAATAGTGAGAATTTGAATAATAGCGCACGCGAAGCGTGAAAGTAAAAGCGCGTTCGAAACGTAAAAGCGACTTATGTTGGGAAAAATCGTGTGATTTAGGTTCAAACCATTCTTTATTATTGTTATTGTAAAAAAAAAAATTGCTTTATTTCTTAGAAAAGTAAAGATAAAAGGAAAAAATTTCTTCCCCTTTAGGGCGGAATTTTCCCTTCCCATCTTACCCTTTACCAAAGGAAACAAAAAAATGTCTTTTACATTGATAAGAAAATATAGCTCTCATTCTTGTCACCTCCTTTATCACCTTCGACTAATCTGGTGCTATGACTGTGGGGTCGGTTGCAGTATCTCCAATTTGATGCCTTTGGGATGGGTCTAAAGGGCCCTGCCGAGTCATAAAATATATATATATATATATATATATATATATATATATAGCTCTCATTGCATGATTTAGGTAGCCATGCCAGTTAGTGAAATGTATTATTTCGGATATTTTGGGGTAGTAGCCATGCCAGTTAGTGAAATGTATTATTTCGGATATTTTGGGGTATGCTTCCAAAATATTTTATATATATATATATATATATAGCTCTCATTGCATGATTTAGGTAGGATGCGAGTTAGTGAAATGTATTATTTCGGATATTTTGGAGTATGCTTCCAAAATATTACTGTATTAAATTTCGTTTGACTTAGGGTGTTGAGGTATGGTTTGCCCTGTCTTTTCACATTCATTTTTCTTGTTTTTCTTTATGTTCCCTATTGTTAGTCACAACCCAATTTAATTTTTTTTGTTCACTCATATGCTTTATAAGCTAGTCATTCATTTCAAAATTTTCCCCCTTTTTTTTTTTTTTTTTTTTTTTTTTTTTTGGTAAGTAACAATTATATTTTATTTTTTTCCCTTAAACTCTTTGAATTCATATGATTTATTCATGTTTATATGGTAAACATTTCATTTTATTTTTATTTTTATTTTGCACATATGTAATTAGTTCTTTATTCTATACATATACTTGATCGGATGGTGTGCCTCAATTATTTAAGTTTCGAGCAAGATATGACTTGGTTCTGAAACTCTTCAATATAGGTCGAAGTGTGAAATCATTCTACTACTAGAGATTCGTGTTCACTTCTCGGATTATCCTCCTTGCTTTGGAGAACCCAAATATATATATATAAATTAGGTTTTATAAGAGACACAATCAATTCCGTCATTAAATTGACTATTTGCTGGCTCAAATCTCATCAAAATGTTACTAAAAATGAAAATTTCATAGTTTAGGCTCTCTCATGAGAATCCATGAACATTTCCCAATAATTAAACGGTCGACTGAACCATTTCAAATCACACATATTGCTATACATTGCACCTTACAAAAGTGGTCATAGACAATGTGAAATATAAATTTGTATTTTGACCAATTTCGTTGTCAAAATAAGTCCAATCAAGTTGTAGATTTTAATTTGTTCGCTTCGTCAAGACTCAAGATTGGAAGGTGAATTGGCGGAATTGAAGAAGTGATCATGCTCATGCTTCGACACACTCTGTGATGATGAGAACAATGCCTTAGTATGGTATGTGAGTGTGTTAGGACACTTAGGGAGTTCAAAATTATGCTTTGAGAGAAGTTTTTACATTCTGCCTAACTTGAACCGGTTTGCTGAACCGGTTCAACTTTTAAAGGCTTTTCAAGATGTTCAAGTCTGGCCAACTTGAACTGGTTTAGCCCACTGAACCGGTTCAAGTTTCTACATCAATTTCTTAAATTTTTTACTGGCCAACTTGAATCGATTCAGCCCCACTTGAACTGGTTCAAGTCCTTCAGACCTTTTTGGTAACTCTGTTTCCTGGTCTGTTTTGATTCCTATTTTGGGTAGACTTCTTCTATATTGATTGTGCACGAAATTGGTTTGTTTTCCAAGTATTTTTAGGTCTTCCAAAATTCTATATAATCTCTTTTGCTCAAAATTAAGTATTCTTTAGAAATCCTTTTTGAGAGATATTCTTTAGAAAATCAAACCTCATTTTTCTGATTTTATTTTGAGAGTACACACATCTACATAATAGTGATTTAGGAGTGTTGTTTCTATCTCATCGGAATTGGAGCTTAATTGAAGATTTAGAAATTTTGAGAAGCGTGATATATTTCTTCTATAACAAATTCAAATTCGAAGAAGAAGAATTTCTGATCACACTTTGAAGGGATCAAGGCGCTTGCAGAGTATTGTTGATCTACCAGCAATCATTCTACAAGGTTCAAGGCATAAGTCTGAAATCGAGAGCTATTGGAAGGGAAATTGCAAAGTCTGAGGTATTTAGCGGATCGAGTCTTGGTAGAATGAAGGGGTGTGAGCCTGAGTCAAAGTTCGGAATGCTTTGCTTCATACGTAGTGGATCGTTTTCACTCGGGACAACGTAAAAATCCTCGAGGTTTTTCAATTGGTTTCCTTGCTAAAATCTTGATGTCATCTCTCTAACCTTGCTTTACTTTTCAGTATTTAGTTTTGTGATTATGGATGTTTAATTGGTCATAGTTATTACTCAGTCACAAAAAATTGGGCAAGTTAACCTAATCACCTCGTCTAAGTCATTTAGAGTGTTAATTACAATTAATCAGCTAACAGCTTCCGCACCGCGTAACTCACAGACAACATCCCCCCAAAACAGGATTCGAATCCCCTCATGTTGTGGACATTAGAAGACCTATCATGTGCTTTAAAACGTTGACGTTTGAAGGCATAGTTGGCAGTCACTTAAAACTAATTAAGGCAATATTTGTCCATTTGTTTAAATAGTCTGTTTTGTTTTTGGAATATTAACTAGCCCTAAATTAAATGATTTTCAACATAAAAGAACAATGTGTGATTATATATATATGTTTTGATTCACGATTGTATTTGCGTGGATATATTGCTTCTTGTTCAAATTAGATTTATATATACGAGTTTAGGTGCACAACTTTACCAAGGTATACATGTCTATAAATATGGTGGTTTGTGGAGAGAGGAGTGGTGGTAGGAGGTTGAGAGGGGAGGGGTGATGGCCATCGTTAGAGGGTGAGGTGTAAGAGGTGGAGATGGTTGTGCTTAGAGGGTGGGGGTGTAAGAGGTGGAGAAAATAGAGTAATAAAGATATAGAAGGAGAGAAGGGAGAAAGAGAATAAATATAATAATGATAATTTTATTTATTTATTTATTTTTTTTGGGAAGGTTATAATAAGGGTGAGTTGTTATGCCTTAAAACGCTGTAGGTTTGAGGGATTTGGATCCCCTCCTGTGGTGGAAATCACAAGACTTATCATCTGCATTAAAACATTGACGTTTGGAGGCATAGTTGACAGTCACTTAAAATTAATTAAGATTATATTTGCATATTCCTCTAAATGACCTGTATTGTTTTTAGAATATTAATTAGCCCTCAAAGTAAATCAACTTGATGAAAACTAATTGAAAAAAATTAAAGTATTTTCAACAAAGAAAAACAATGTGTGATTATATATATATATATATGTATGTATTTAGATATATGTTTTGATTCACAATTGTATTTGTGTGGATATATTGGTTCTTTTTCACATTAGATTTATACATATAGGTGGTGGTAGGAGGTTGAGAGGGAAAGGGTGATGACCATGGTCAGAGGGTGGAGGTGGAGATAGCCATGGTTAGAGGGTAGGGAGAAAATAGAGTGATAGAGATATGGAAGGAGAGAGAGGAGAAAGAGAATTAATTATAAATATAATAATGGTAACTTTTTTTATTTTTTGGAAGATTATAATAAGGGTGAGATGTTAGGCCTCAAAACGCCGTAGGTTTAATGCACATGACAAAACCACATGACCTCCTCAACAGGAGAGGATCTAAGTCCAATTTTGAGGCGGTGGACAAGACCACAGGACCTCCTCAATAAGAGGCGATCCAACAACCCTAAATATGTGATACATTTCAGATATATTTGTAAGATAACTTGCATGGGTGGCCCAGGGATTAAGGGGTTTCAAAGAACGAATTGTAAATGTGTGATTTAATTAATTTAGGAAAGAATAGTGATTTCGAGATTGAATTCGGTAATTACCGAATTCCGTTTACGTGAGAAGGATAATGAGTCACATCACATGACGTCATGATGATATCATATAGTGGGACCCACCACTTCACTCACTTAAATTGAATTCGGTAACTGCCAAATTCGGCACTTAAATAATTATTCTATAAAAAATTGATAGTGAGATGGGTATGTCATTTTCATTTGTTATGGTAAATTCTTCTAAATTAAAAAGAAAGTTAAAGGTATTCAAAGAAAGGGTAGTGCTAGGAAACAATTATTGGTTGATAGATTTTTGAATTTAGGTTCTGTTTGTTTCGACGTAAAATAAATATTTTGAAAAATATTTTTTTTATTTTTATTTTTTGGTATTTGGTAAAGATCTAGGTCGAAGTTTAGGTCAAGTCCATTGGGTGGGGTGTGTAAAATAGCTTGGCAAAAATTGTTGAATAAGTTTTTTTTATTGGATTTTAATATATTTTTTTTTTCGTAAATATTTTACGACAATCAAATACCAGAAAACACA